TTTACGACGATTATTACCACTAGTAGTACTAGTACCACTACTATTGATAGCCTTTGCTACTACTGCTACTACTACTGCTGCTACTACTACTACTACTGCTACTACTACTACTATTATTACTACTACTACTACAACTACTACTATTACTACTACTACTACTATTACTACTACTACTAGCATTAGTACTAGTACGAGTACTAGTACGAGTACTAGTATTAATACTAGTACTAGTACTAGTACTAGTGCTAGTACTAGTACTAGTACTAGTACTAGTACTAGTACTAGTAATAGTACTAGTCCTACTACTCCTACTATTATTACTACTACTATTCCTACGACGACTACTATTACTACTACTGCAATTACTACCAGTATTCGTACGATTGGTGCTACTGACTATTACTGTTACTGCTTCTGCTACCAGTACTGCTGGCCCCTGTGCATGGTTTTGCTCCTGCTCCGGCTGCATATTATGGAGTAGGGCCCAACCGACGAGGCCCCGTCAGCTCCTTCCCAAACCGCCCCTAACTCTACACGGAACAATACTCCTTTACTGCGCATCTCTTGCCTGAACCTTCTTGGACTGGTGCACGTGCTGTACGTCATAAGATTTTAAATTCCAACAGAATTGCCATGCGAGCTGCAACCATGTAGCACATTGCATTTGAGAAACGGTGGGACTACGGCTAGGCCCTAGCCCGAAATCTACTAGCCAACTGATTCGGAACTCAGCCGTGAGCCTGCTTGCGCCATGGGCGCGAAGAAACGAGACAAGGCAACCGTGCCTGCACCGGCCTTAATGTTTGTCTTTAGCATTACAATCTATTGATTTGAGCATGTGTTTGAGATGCACTTGGGCTTCTAGCTTCTTGGGTCGACGGGCTGCCAAACGTCCCCAACGCTTCAGGCCGCCACGACGGCTGCTTTTCGCTTACCTGAACCAGACAGGATTCCCAGCATTCAGATCCATGTCTCTTGTACGATAGTCTCGACTGCGATGAATCGAAGTATATAAGTCATGAGAACGCAGTGCGGGTACAAGCACGGTCATGCTTGGGCACAAGGTTGCAGCAAATCTCGTGAACGAAGCATCTTGCGTGCTGTTGTGGGCAGGACTGTTCAGCTCACTGTCCCAGTTGTCATTCCGCCGGTTGATTTCGAGGTGCGTCGAAAGGGGTCGCCACTTATCTACAAAGAGCCTCACTTGCTTTACCTGCCACATGTCTAGTTGCAGTGAGTGTCGTATCGCCATGCATAGTAAGATAATGACAGGAATCACTGCCATCGTAATCAAGAGTCTTATCATAACTAGACTGATCGGAGGAGATCTTTCTCTCACAGACACACACACACACACAGACTCTCTCTCTCTCTCCCTATGTCTCTGTTTTTCGCCTGTCTGTCTCCATCTGAGTCTTGTGTGTTTGTGTGTGTGTGTGTGTATGTATGAATGTACACATGCAGTGTATATATGCACTCGGACACAAAAACGTATCCACCTCGCTCATGTGTAATATCCGTTACAAGTGTCATGCAAAATGCAAATCCTGGGCTGGAAACGGAACTCCACTAATCCACCATGGGATGGTGCACGCCTGAAACTGGGTCCGTCCGCCCAGGGTAGGCGAACGACCGCAATCGACCGCAGAAACAGTCCCCGAACACAGGTGTGAGAAGCGAACCTGAAGAACTGTGGCGTTTAGGGCTTATAGTAGGCAACATGTAGGTGTACACACTGCAGGATTAAAAACTTCAGTGTAAGGAGCCGCTGCGCGCGTGCGCGCGCAGCGAGCGGAAAGCCGTTCCCCGGGACGCAGTTTCCGCTGCAACACATTCGCATCCTCCTCTTGGCACAGGATCCGCCAGAAATTACATGGGGCTCGTGATCCTGCGTCTGCCAGTGCTTAGGCCAAGCAGTTTGGCCGTGCTCCCCAATCCCGTGAGTGCTTTGGGGGAAGCATCGTGCCCGTGCTTTGGAGGAAGCATTGTGGCCGTGCTCATGAAACCCAGTACTTGCAGGGCAACAGTTTGGCCGCGTTCATCTCCGTGTCTTTTGGTGATCTCTTGATGGAGTTGGCGGTCTGCTGGTGGTCGTTCCTGGTGGTCCGGTGGTCGTTAACGTCCTGGTCGTCGCAGTAGTCGTCCTAGTAGTCTTGGTAGTAGTGGCCATTGTGGCAGTAGTGGTCGTCCTGGTAGTAGTGTCGTCGTGGACATCACTGTTGGGGGTTTACACTCAAAATACGATAAGAGCCTCAAGCATATGTATGCATAGACTCGTAGACACATCTTTCTTCAAACAGAACGCCGTACGTCCATACCTAGGCAAAGGGAGATAGTGGGTTGGACAGCTGTATGTACACATACATAGTAGACACACACTTACACACATATACATAAAATGTGCAGGTACGTGTACGTGTAGATCCATACGGCAAATCATGGCAAATCGATGTATGTGTGACCATGACTCATGAACGCACACATACATGTGCATGTACATGTACATGCACATGCACACATACACCCAGACATACACGCATACGTACGCACGCATCTGCACCCTTACCCGCATGCATGCATACATAAATTCATACACATACACATACATATATGTATACATAAGCATATACATATACATATACATATGCATGTATATATATATACACATCTGCATATACAATGTAGTATATTTATAATATATATATATATATATGTATAAAAAATATATAATAAAATATGTAATACAATACAATATAATCCAATACAATACAATATGGTATAATAAGTTATAATATAATATAATATAATATATTGTAACATATCTATATACACACATGGCGTATGCATGACATATACATGACATGACCATTACAAAAAAATGATCTCACATGGAAATGGATCGTTTGAGATGGCATTGCATTGCACGGTAGTCACAGCTAACTTTGCTATTTCACATTCACATGTACCTTACTGCCGTGCTTTGCATGAGCATCTGAGGTTTGCACCGTTACATGTATGTATTACATTTCTTCTCACATTCACGCTACAGTTGCCCTACATTTACAACACATTAACATTTCATTTGCATTGCGCCCGCCGTCCGTCAACCTTAAATTTACGTCGGAGTAACAGTAAACCGACACTATGCGCGTGTACATTCTGTACTTTAATTATGCATGTGCGCACTTACATCTGACATGCACATTACATTTACATTCCATTCACATTCCGGTGACATTCCGTTTACATTCCATTTCCAGTCCATATACATTTGAGTCAAATTACAATACGTGTAAGTTACCTTGCATGTACATCACACCCGCATTGTAGCTACAATGCATCTAAACTGCATTTCTACTCCGTTCGCATCACATTTATGTCATTGCATTTTTTAATACGTGCCCATGACATGTGCATTAAATTACGTTGACATGTCATGTACATCACGCGCACAGTAAATTTACATTAAGACTACACCACATTCACATTACAGTTGCCTCACATTTGCGTTACATCTACATTACACCTACTTACCTATGCATTACGTTTAGATTACATCGATATTGGATTTACTTTGGAATCACATTGGACTTACACTCACATTAACTTCACACCATATTTACATGAGATTAACTGGATGTACATCAGATTTACATCACATCTACACTGCATGTATTACACATTGCATTTACATTGCATTTACATTGGATTTACAGTATGTTGAGACCTTATCTACATCACATTTGCATTGCATTTTGCATCAGTTACATTCTCTTGCACATTTTGCTAACATTGCATTTGCATTACATTTTCCGTACACTTACACTGCATTTACATCGCGTAAAAATTACGTTGCATTATACATGTACATTGCGTTTACATTACTTTTCATTGCATTCAATACATCTACGCTACATTTACGGTAGGTTAACATTCCATTTACATTACCCGTACAACACTTACATCTAAAGTACACTTACATTGCACTTACATGACATTTACAGTACACTTACATTACATTTAGATTTCAGTTACATTACATTCACATTACAGTTACACTACATTTACGTTACATGCACACTCTATTTGCGTTACATTAACATAGAAATTACAGTACATGTGCACGACATTCACATGGCATTCACATTACATCTACGATAGATTGACATTCCGTTTACATTACCGTTCTATTATATTTTAATTTCACATTACATGTACATTGCATCTACATTTACGTTGCATTTAACTTACTTTTTACATTGCATTTGTTTTATATGTACTTCACATTCAAACTGCATGTACATTGCATGTATACCACATAACTCGTCACATGTGCACTACATGTCACATGACAGTTTATTTTGAAGCACACATGTGTTTACATGGCATTTGCAACACATGCGCATTTGACTTGTACTAGACCTGCACTACATTCATGTAGCAAATACATCCACAGTGTTCTACATGATGAACATTGTAATACATTAGCTTCCATGGCCACACCTCCAGCTTCGTTACTCGTTGCGAGCACAGTGGAAGTGGGCCCAACTTGGTTGCCAAGGAGTTGGATGCGAAGTGAGCCCAGTTGCTATCTGAAATCCCGAGCCCCGGGACAAGAAATTACCAAGATATCTTATCAGACGTCAGGAACGAGCTTGAAGAAGAAGATAAAGAGCTCCAAAGAGGCAGTAGACAGTAGAACTGAGCTTGAAAGGTTTCTTACGCCTGATGGTGTGTCTGACGTTGGTTATATACCGGGGTTGAGGCTAGGTCTTTAGGCTTCATGGGGTGCTCAACTTTTGGCGACTTGGTTGCACATAAACTTTGGCCCTCCGAGCCCCCCAGTAGTGCTCTCGATCTTTGCGGTGTCGCCATGGCTCTGGTGGCAAACAACGACTCCGTGCATGCAGGAGGTCAGTTCGCAGATGGCATGTGACATCGGGCCTCGCTTGCATGTTGAACAGTCTTTGTCGGGCTTACCCACTAAAGACTTTTGTTCCAAAGAAAGAGTTTAGTTTCTGCTCCAGCGTGGTAAGCTTACCCACCAGATTCGAGTTACTTGCGCTTCCGCGCTCCGACGTAAACAACTTGCTCCGTGGACAGGTTCTTTGGAAACCCCCACAGTGGTTGGAAGCTGGCCGCTGGCGCCTTAGCTTGCAGCTCGCTTTAGGCGGCTTTGGCCGTGGAAGACGAAACGTAAGCTTTCCTCTCGCTGCAAACGCAAGCCAAAGCAAACCACTTTTCTGTCTGAAGTGCTTCAAGACAAAGACTTGCTCTTGCGACGTTTCCAGGAGGTGCTCTCTTACGAGTGCCGGCTGCTTGGAAGAGGAAAGAAGCAAGTGCAAAGACTCAAAGGCAGTCGCACTCACCGTCGTGACAGAGCTGGGCCTACCGTGCTGGGCGAACGTTTTGCTCAGTCACGTAGGGCACACCTTTCGGTGACACGTTGCTTGGTTAAGCTCGCTCCTCGCCCAGCGTCGAGCCCGCAAGTCAATTTCGAGGAACCTCAGTCTCCTCAGGCTCAGAGGCTGAGAGGGTCGCACAAACGCCGCCGGCCTAGCTGAGTAATTTTCTGCGGGGCTGGGCCTCACGATAGGGCCAGGAAACCTGTCAGAAGCCGCGTGGATCTTCAACGAGACCACGTTGTGCTTCAAGGATAAAGGACACAACTGCATGGCTGGGTGCAAGATAGGTGCGTCACGCAGCTGGCTCAAACTTTGTTTTCTGTCTGGCAGGCTTTTCAAGGTTCGCTTGCCTCCTCCGGAGTTTCGGCTGGCACTTTCAAAGGAGGGAAGGCCAAAGGCTCTGGGAAGGGGAAACGGCCAAATAACCCTGAAGGGCCCCCTGCGCCCTCCCTGGCGTCTAGACGCACGCAGATGCTGCATGCTGCGGCTCAAAACCAATGGAGCGACGACAAAGTTGCTGAACAGTTGCTGCTCAAGCTTGAACCCTGGGCTGAAGGTGCCACTCCTGAACCTCAGACGCCACGTCGCGCCAGACTGGCTTCTCCGGCTTGCGAGCAGCCTCAAGCTGCACAAACGCCGCGAGCTCAGGCGTTACAGGCTTCTTTTGCTTCGTTCCTTCAAGGCAAAGGCTCTATAGGGGTCGGGGGTAAAGAAGTCGCTTTTCGCTTTGGAAAAAAGCAAAGACAAAAGTGGTTCTGCTTTCCTACGCCCCTCTCTCGAGGGAGGTGGTGGGGCCCAAGGAGGTACCAAAGGAAAAGCGGACACCGTGCGAAAATGGCTCCTAGCCAACCCAGACCCAACCGTTACGCGACGCGCATCCTCCAGTCAAAGTGGGACGAAAAGGTTGCCCTTACCACGGTTCCTTTGCTTCGAAAGGCAATGGAGGCGGGAGAGAAACTTCCAGGTAACTTCATTATCTGTCGGGAGAAACAGGTGATAGACGAGGTGAGGGATATTCTGAACGCCTTCGCTCCGACAGGAGCCCTGTCAGCTGCTGTGGCGTGTCAGTCTACTAGCCGCACTAGCCTGTCTCCTTCTGCTTATGTTTGGTGGAACCGGAGCAAGGCCGAGTCCAAAAGCAAACTTCGTGCCGGAGCCTCTTTGTTGATGATGCTGCACGGGATGACCCGGCGAGGATCATCGCCGAGCTTGCTCAGGCAGTGGGCTGCCGCAGCTGCGTCCTCACAGGAGGTGGGTGGCACAGAGCGACACACAAACAGGTTGCAATCTCACCGGACACTTGTGCATCCCGCAGACACTCGCTGACAAACTTGTGCAGTGCAGTGCTAAGAAAGGTCTGTTCCATTCTGTTCGTCTCTACACAGGTTCCTAGTGTGCCAAAACTGTCTGTTTGTTGGTTCCTTAGTGGCAAAGGTATGACTTCTGAAGATTATTTGCTTTACGTCCAAGCAGAAGCGGCGAGGAGGAACTTGCCTGTCATACTCAGGTAGGGAGGTGGCATGACTTAGCACTTGCAGGAGCTGAACAACTCGAGCACTCTGCCAAGGCTGGCACGCGGTGTCTTGTTGACACCCCCAGCTGGCTGCAAGAAGACATTCATGACTTCATGAAGGAAACCGGTTGGAGGCAAATCCAGATCGTTACTCGTCGTCGAGGCAACAAAAAGACTGGAGGCCACATTTGGGTCGTTAGGGCTCTTAAGCCCCCGGTCAGGATAGTTTCTGCTACTCTGATGTTGATTGCCGGCTGAGGCCCCTTGTCGCGGGTGCCAAGAAGAAGTGGTCTGAAACCGTAGCTGACTGGGCTGCCGACGTTCCCAGTAGGCAGGCAGTTAGACATTGAAGAGGACATGCTAGTCACCTGCTCTTCTCGTCAATGTGCAGGACGCTCCAGGCTGCCTCTCAGTGGATGCTTTCGCGAGGCCGCCAAAGTGTACTGACTCAGATTCCGGCGACCATCGCCGTGGCTTGCTTTAATGCAGAGGTAGTTCTGCTGCTCGGGCCTTAGCCTTCCACGAGCTCCGCGCTCCAGCCGCAGCGATGCAGCCGCTGCGCGTGCAGATGCGGCCCCGTCGACTAGGGAGTGCGTTCAGGTTCTGCGCAGGAATGCCCTCCCCAGCTGTCGACTTCCGCCTGCGCCCTGGTGTTCAACAGTGTTAGCACTCTGGTACCCTGCACCACACATGTTGTATTGCCGTCCTTTGTCCGGTCTCGCAATTTCCACAGAGCAATGTCGCAACTTACGGGAAGGCTGAGGTGGCACCCCACTGCTACGCTAGCCGAGGTGATCGCTCTGGCACAGCAGCTGGGACAAATCAGGTCCCCAGAAGTCGCCCTTCGGGGTCGCATCCAAGGATGGATCCGGGGCGCTCTTTTGTGACCTCCTTGGGCCGTCGAGAAAGGCTACTGCGACAACCCTGGCGCATTGTGTTACAGTTACAGTACTTTCGCCGAACGTCCTAGTACGTTGCAGCACATTGCAGTGCGATACATTATGTGATATTGCATTGCGCAACACTACATTACATCATATGGGGTTACATAGACATACTGAGTTGCATATATGCGTACATACACACATACATACA